CAATTCCTTCCAATAGAGAAAATGAGACTAAAAGAAGAAATTACTTAGGTAAGGTCTCACTGCTAGATAAATGGAAGGTAAAAAATGAGGACAGTGGCTTCCACATTCATTTTCTGTGGCTCTTTCCACTATCCCCACACTATTTTTCTGTGGGTAAGTTATGTACTATTTTGTTATGTTTTGTTTACTCACAAAAGAGTTGGTTTTTTTCCTAGCAGTCTATAGGTGTTATCCAGGCTTCATTAAAACATTAGAAATGACTTCCCCAACTCACAGATTGGTTTCACCTGTCACTTCATTTCCCATCAACAGGAATACCAGCTCTCAAAGTACGGGTTCCCATCAAGTTGGATGAGCTTTTGATGTTGATGCTAACACCATCATACCATGTCATTATAAGTCAGTATCCATTATGGCCTATGAAACTCAGCCATCACTTCATTGATACTGCATTTAAAATACTAACATTTTCTTCACTAATCCAGTTAAGTAGTTTTATTCTATAGTACCAAGAATGAGGAAGAGATGGGAACAGAAATTTTTAATAAGCCAGATCATCCTGGAATTAGGGAATCTGAGAACCACTAAGGCAATGGAAAATGACACATGTATCTGAAAGAACATTTTAAGTCCACAGAAATCATGAGTTCCACCAATGATTGTAAAATCAAATATCAAATAACAAAATCTTTAAAACAGAAAAATATTATTGAATTCTTGTCATGTTAGGCACTGTTCTAAAAGCTTTACATACAAAACCCCCCAAAAGGCAGGTAAGACATAGATAAGGAAAGTGAACAGCACCAGAATTTCTATACATATGCAAGGGGTTGCAAAATATAAGTAGGGCACACCAATGAAGACTTAGTTTCCAGTCTTCCTATTAAGCTTTAAGTAAACTGTTAAACTGTATGTGTATCTGAGTTAGCAAGACCCTTGATATGCAAACAAAGCACAGGCATGTTATTTAGGTAGAATATTTATGAAGTGAGTGGGAGAGACTGTGACCATCCTTCCCCCAAACCTATGGACTCCTAGCACTACACAAAAACTGAGGGCCCCAAAGATAAAAATCCCTCACTCACAGTGATGAAGCAAGTACAAGACAGGCAGAGCTGGCCCTTCAGCCCAGGTCAGTGTGGTTCCTAAGTCCTTTCTCTTTCTACTCTCTCCAAATACCTCCTTTTGTATAAATGCCCCCAGACAGTCTAAGTACCATATAAAAATTATTAACTAATAATTTTGTAGGTCATCTGCTATGAAAAATGAATGTATTTCTGAGAACCTTAAGCTAACATACAGAAAGCTAATTTTCTAATGCCTTAGAACAACACGCATACTACAATTTCAAGACCTCCTAAGGCAGAATTCAAGTACATTTCAAAACACACACAAAAGACAGGAGTCTTTTGGGGTGGGGAGAAGGGAATGAAGGAGATGAGAAAATAGTCTCTCTTAGGATATTAAAGCTGGTTTAAGGCCAAGCTGGTTAATAAAACTGAAATAATTTTTAGGATTATGCAAAATACTGGGTTTAAAAACTGAATATAATCCAGTGATATCCAATATCTTACTCATAATTTGAGAGCCTGAAATGCTTGCTTTTTAAGAGGGAATTTATTCAACAAATTTCAATTAGGCCTGGGCTAGTAGGCATTATGGAAGCCACAAAGGTATGCAAGACACAGCTCTTCCCAAGGAGTACTTGCAGTCTAATTAGAAAAACTAGATAAATGTGTGGAAGGATAAAACAAACAAATTCCAGAAGGGTGGGTTGCCAAGAAGCAGAGAACTTCAACGAAGAAGCAAACACTAGGCTTTTGAAACAGTGGCAGCACTGTAAACAAGCCCTTGAAGGGAAAATGAGAATTGGAGGCAGGGGCTGAAGGATATTTGATGGGCCCAAAATAGGCTATTAAAAAACAAATCAACACCAAATGCTGGAGAGGATGTGGAGCAACAGGAACTCTCTCACTCATTGCTGGTTGGGAATGCAAAATGGAGCAGCCACTCTGAAAGACAGTTTGGCAGTTTCTTAGAAAACCAAACATAATTGCTGCCATAAGATCCAGCAATTGCACTCCTTGCTATTTACTCAAAAAGGAGTTGAAAAACGTATGGCTATACAAAAGCCTGCATGCATGTGGATGTTCATAGAAGTTTTATTCATAACTGCCCAAACGTAGAAGCAACCAAGTTGTCCTTCATAGGTGAATACATAAACTGTTGTACACCCCACAATGAAATAGTATTCAACATAAAAAGCATGAGCTATCAAGCAATGAAAAGAAATGAAGGAAACTTAATGCATATTACTAAGTAAAGGAAGCCAATTTAAAAAGAGTATATACTGTATGATTCCAACTATGTAACACTCTGAAAAAGGCAAAACTATGAAGATAGTAAAAAAAGATCAGTGGTTGCCAAGGAGTTGGGGGTGGGGATGGTAATGAAAAGGCAGAACACATTGGATTTTCAGGGCAGAGAAAACACTCTGTATGATAATATAATGGTAGATACATGTCATTACATTATTGGTCCAAACACAAAGAATAGATAATACCAAGTATGAATCCTAATTAAACAATGGCCTCTGGGTGATTATGGTGTGCCAGTGCAAGTTTCATCAATTATAACAAATGTACCACTATGGGGGCTGGGATTGTAGCTCAGCAGTAGAGTCCTTGCCTAGCACATGCAAGGCACTGGGTTCAATCCTCAGCAACACATTAAACAAATAATAAAATAAAGGTGTTGTGTCCAACTACAACTAAAAAAAATATTAAAAAAAAAAAATGTACCACTATGGTGGGGGAAGCTATCCCTGTGCGGGGCAGGGATATATGGGAAATCCCTGGACATTCCTCTATGTAATCATAAAACTGCTCTAAAAAAAATAAAATCTTTAAAAATGAATAAACAAATACACAGATATTTTCATACAAGGACAAACTCGTGTTTATGAGCTTCTTCATAGGGCACTGGTTAAAGTGGTATATTCATAATATGGTACATTCATAAAATGAAATATAGTGTAGGTGGTTAAAAAAACATGTCAGCATAGGCTGGGGATGTGGCTCAAGCGGTAGCGCGTTCGCCTGGCATGCATGCGTCCCAGGTTCTATCCTCTGCACCACATACAAACAAAGATGTTGTGTCCGCCGAGAACTAAAAATAAACATTAAAAAATTATCTCTCTCTCTCTTAAAAAAAAAAAAAAACATGGCAGCTTTAGATGTATGATATATATTATATATTGCTAAGCGAAAAAAGCAAGATGCAGGAAAGGTGTGTGTTATACCATCGCTTGTGTGCTTACAAAATTTGACAATACTTATACAAATATGCTTGTATATGCTTATATATTCATAAATTATCAATGGGAAGATTTAGGAAAAAGTTATAAACAGTATATACATCTGTTGACTGAGGATACTGCTACATAAAACAAAGGGACTGTGCTCTACAGAAGGCAAGAGACTACAGAAAATCCTGAATATTAGGATAAGAGATTTAGAAAGCCTGCATGCATACTCAAGAGCAGGATTCTCAACAATGGAACTACTGACATTTGGGACCAGATAATTCTTAGTTGTGTGGGCTGCCCTGTAAGACTTCTAGTAGCACTGCTAGCCACTAGATACTGAACACATCCTCCTACTTGCTGTCCCTGGTTGTGACTACCAAAAACGTCTCAACGTTGCCAAATGTCCCCTATGAAGTAAAACTTCTCCAGGTTGAGAAGTACTGCTCAAGAGCTACAATGATAGTAATTTACAAAACACTGCAGCTCTATATCCTTGCAAATTAACAACTCCAACATACATTCATATATAGATCTGAGGGGCATATTTGGCAGTTTTGAAATGACCTTCATACATCAGTTTCTCAAGCTGAGATAATTCAAGCCCCTTCCCAGATCTGAATTATCATTTCTAACTATATCTACTCCATCACAAATGTCTCTTTTTTGCTCATATTGAATCCTAAATAATGAAGCTAGATAGATGTTCAGTAGTATATGAGAACATGCCAATTCCCCTAATGGGCTTCACAATGATGCACTGACCTGTTACCTCCACAGGTTAATTTCACAAGTCAACACACCAGCCTTACCCTCCATTCCACCGACCACCAAATAGCACGTTTCTAGATCCAAGATCTTCTGAGAGGTCAAAGAAGGCAATCTTCCAAAAGAAATCTAACAATCATATTTTGGCTCAACTTTTGAAAAACTAATATAACTACTGATACAATAAGAATATAATTACTCACATTATACTAAGGTTTCTTCCTATAATTCCTAATAAACATACAAAGTGTAACACAATGTCCTAAAATCGTGAAAGGAATCACCCCTGATTTCAAGGAGACTATAAAGAGAATGATTAGTTCTAAAGCCAAGAGAGGGTTGTACTAGAGTCTACAATCACAATTTTTTTGAAATATTTATTTTTCAGGTTTTGGTGGACACAATATCATTATTTTATTTGTATGTGGTGCTGAGGATGGAACCCAGCGCCTGGCGCATGCTAGGCAAGAGCGTTACCGCTTGAGCCACATCCCCAGCCTTACAATCACAATTTTTATTAAGTGTAAAGCCATTTCAAATATACCACAATGAATGAGGATGAGAAAAAAAGAAAGACATCCAACAGGCTTGAATATTTTTCAAACACAGATCTAAAACTTGGGTTGACTCTCCTGTGTCTTTTCTTTTTGAAAGGCCAGAAATCCAATAATACCCTGGCAATCTTGGCTTCATATTTTGAAGTCACTGATTCCTTCAATGCTGTTGTAGTTGAAAAGCTCTGGATTTCATCCTTATGAAATCATGCTCTTCAGATTCTAGTATTGTGCCGACTACTTTTGCTTAGCTCTCAGAACGTTGGTTCTCATTTGTGGAGGTAACCTCCAGTGACCTCACTCTGTAATAAATACATTTGTGAGTCGCTATGGAAGATGCTTAAAGGTGTCAGCGGCGAAAAAAAGAAACTCACCATTCTAACTACTTCAGGGTAAGTCTGCTCTGTCAAACAGCCTCTGCTTATTGTAATGTAGTCCACCAGTTCATTAAGAGTGGAGCGCTTGTATTCTTTCATTTTAAGATCAGATAGCGTGTCCATGAAGTCAAAAATGACACAGCACTGCTGAAGTTTCTTTAGGAACAGTTCAGGCTGCTCTGAGGTTGGAACGTCTAAGAAAAAAAAAGGAAATGGTGTAAGTCTGTCATCAATTTCTAAGTAACAGGAATTCTCTGCGAAATTTACTTCAAAAGCAAGCTCAAAAGAATAAGAATTCACATGACAATAGTGTTCTTTTTAACAGTTACACATGGGGGGAGGGGATAACATATACACTATTTCAGAGATCTTGACTCTGAAAACTATAATGCACCAACACAATTGACTCTGGTTGCTATTCTGCAACCAAAGATTGACTAAAATCCCAAGAGCCATTAGAAGTTTGAAGCAAATTTTAACAACAACAAAAAAATAACCCTGATGTCAATACCCATAAATCCAAAAACACTGAAAAATGTCAAATTCTTCCTCATAAGGTAAAGCCAGAAGTTTTCACTGTTGGTTTAAATTAGTTTTACTAAAAAAATTCAAAGCAGAAATGTCAGTCTATCCATTTTAATTTCATGCTGACACCCTTGATATTTAAAGCAATTATTGTGTGTGTTCTTATTTTGTTTTGTTTTTGCTTGATTTTTATGAAGTTTCTTTGTCAAAGACACTTGAACCCCCCCCCCCAAAAAAAAAGAAAGAAAGAAAAATAACAACTCTCTAAAAAAGAGCACACTAAACGGTATGGTGGCACATACCTGTAATCCCAGTGGCTGAGGCAAAAGGATCACAAGTTCAAATCCAATCTCAGCAACTTAGCAAGGCCCTAAGCAACTTAGTGATATAAATTTTAAAAAATTTAAATCTTAAAAATAAAAAGGGATGGAGATTTGGCACAGTGGTAATGTGCCCCTGGGTTCAATTCTAGGTACAAAAACAAATAAGTAAAAATAAAAACAAAAAAGAGCACACCAGTAGTAGGAAAATAAGAGCAAATTCCCTTCATCTACACTCTCTTTTGATCCACCTTTTTCCCTTACATTGGGAAAAAACTACTAACGTCTTTATTAATATGTTCTCAGAATAGACATCTGTTCTTTTTTAAAACAAACAGCAGGTCAGACATTTGGCTTGGTTTAAAAAAAAATGTAAGAAATTTTAGGTTAATTAAAATTCTCCAGCTAGAAAGGAATCTGACCTACAATTGGATTTGAAATACACGATTGAGCTACAGACAACCAAATCCACTCCTATCTTTTCTACTATTTTATTTCCCCAAACTGGAGCATCACTGGAGAGGCAATGAAATTATGACCCACATAGGCTCTGCTGCCTTTATCCAAGGCAATTAACTCATTAATCCTCAGAACATCTTTTGAGGTAAGCAGGTAGCATGGTTATTCTTCATTTTTCAATAAGAAAAGCAGGCACAGTCATTGAGATGAACACAATGAATGAACTATGGAGCTGGGCACAATGCCCAGGTCTCTAGCCATACACCCAAGTTCCCTTTGTACTACTTCAGAAGGATTTTAACAGTGTTTGGCCGGTCACTAACAACCATCCTCAGTTGTCAATCTTCCAGTAAATGCTATACAGTGGCTTCACAGCGTAGGCCATCTGCTCTCTGAAGGAGAATGCTACATCATCTAGAACCCACCTTACAACCAAGAGCCCCAGTAGAGCGGAATGGAAACCAGCCTAGGCCTGTTTTACACATGATCCACATGACTAGCTCCATTAACTCCCATCCCCTACCCATATCCCACAACCCAAGTGACAGAGAACTAATCAAGCCACCCTGGACCTCATAGACAATTCCCCCCAAAACACTGACTGCTAAGGTTAAACCTAGCTGAAAGGAAAACAGATCTTTTCCAAAGGACATTAGAGAACAAGGAATAATAAATGCATTTGAAGGTATCACCACTACTCTCAGCATAAACAAGTTGTAAATTTGGTAATTGTTAACAGTGAGTTTCACTCTACCCCCAACCCCCCAAAGGTTCCCCAGTGGCTTAATATACTTATAATCAAATACTTTGGATTTAAGGCATAATATATACTTATTCTGTGCTCCTAAAATGAATCATTTTTAAAATCTAGCTTGGGACCATAAGAACCAAACATAGTCAGATCAAGTTTTCTCTTTAAGTGCTACCTGATCAGGTGTTTAAAATAAATAAATAAGCAAAAACTAAATACAGCTGCTTATGAATATGAGTGTATATAGTCTTAACCAGTATCTAATTACATGCACAGGACCACCATGGTCCAGACTCCAGATCCTGAAACTGAATGGAGTTTTGATGCTGTAAAGGGAATAAGAAAAAGCTTATTAAATGGGGTATTAGTTAAAGGTTAAAATCTTCAGGGAAAATTGAAACTTTTGATATAACTTTCATAAAACCTAAAAATCAGATCGCTCACATGGAGAACTCCTTAAACACAGCACATAAGAATTACAAAACATCTATAAATGGTAGCCTTTCTGAGAGTAAATCAACATTTAAGCAGTAACAACAATTAATGTTTGTGGTTACTGCAATAACAATCAAGAGATTCATTCATTTAGCAAGTCAAAAAATTCAAGCAGTTAACATTTAGATCCTTTTTAATGTCAGGCAATTGGAGTTTATCCTTTATTTATGCAAACTGGCATGTCATAAACAAATGAGAACCAGGCTAACCACTTGCCAGATGGAATAATGATAATAAGCGTACATTTATTGAACAGAGTTAGTATACTTACTATGTGCTATTCTAAACACTTACACATATTACATTTTGATTAATATCTACAACAACCCTACACAGTAGGTACTATTTCAAGTTTAACAGATGAATAAACCAAAATAGAGATTGCTTCAGTAATCTGCCCATAGTCATACAGCTAATAAGCATTGGAGACAGGAGTCAAACACAGGCAATCTGGCTCCAGGCCTGGACTCATCATCACCATGTACCATTCAAACACAATCAAAGGCCAGAGTGATATCATATTCCAGAAAATTAGGGGGATGGGGTGTGTGGGCAATCTCCCCTCCAGACCATTCTCCAGAGGTTAACATGCAGAGCCAAAGTTATGCTTTATCATCCTTTATCACAGACTAAATTCTTCTAAAATGAACTCCATTAAATTGAAGAACTTGAGCAGTCAAGAACAACCAAAAGCTGGGGTGGTGCGGGCCAGAGGTGGGGTGGTCCCTTAAACAGGCAATTCCTTTAATAGTAACAATTTAAAAAGGAAAAGAAGGAAACTATTTCATTCAGGGGAAGGATGAACTAACTATCAAAACACTCCAAGAGCCAAGTGTGGTAGAGTTTACCCATGGTTCCAGCTAGTAGGAAGGACAAAGTGAGTAAGTAGGTGAAGCAGATGGATGGCTTAAGTATAGAAATTCAAGCTAGCCTGGACAACATAGCAAGACTATCTCTTTAAAAACAAAACAAAAACCACAATTGCTCCAAGCAAGTACCAGTAATAGTTGGCCCTTGGATTGTCATCCCTCCTCCCCCTAGCTCTCCTGCTCCCAATCCCCCTCCTCTCATCTACCTAGCCCCTGTGGGCTCTGAAGGTAGAATTAAAAGGTAGAACAGGCCAGGGGTCAGAGAAGGTACACTCTGAGTAGTCCCAAGAGTTTCAATAAAATTAAAGAAGTTTAGTATTATGGAACCAGTCCCAGAAGTAGATATAAATATTCTTTCTAAAGAAACATTTATTAAAAGGATCAGTTACTGAGCCATAAAGAAAATCTCATAAATGACAGAAAGCAGATTCCAATCACAATGCATTAAATAAATAACACTAGCTACCCACCTCCCAAATCCAAGTCACCTGAAAATCTATAAACACTTCTGAAGTAACTTGAAAGAAAATTAAAGGTAATGGAAGGAGACCCTCATTGTTATACAAAATTACATATAAAAGGAAGTGAGGGGAAAGGGGAAAAAAAAACAAGGGGGAGAAATGAATTACAGTAGATGGGGTAGAGAGAGACGATGGGAGGGGAGGGGAGGGGAGGGGGGATAGTAGAAGATAGAAAAGGCAACAGAATACATCAGACACTAGTATGGCAATATGTAAAACAGTGGATGTGTAACCGATGTGATTCTGCAATCTATATACGGGGTAAAAATGGGAGTTCATAACCCACTTGAATCAAATGTATGAAATATGATATGTCAAGAACTATGTAATGTTTTGAACAAGCAATAATAAAAATTTTTTTAAAAAAGAGGAAAAAAAAACTTATACATGAAAAAAAAAAAAGAAAATTAAAGGTCATCATAGACTCCCCAAGCAAACCAGGCAGTGGATACTTCTTTCTTTCAATGGAACTGGCCTACAAAAGCCAGCCTGCCCCTGGGGAGAAGAATCCCACAGAATCATATCATAAACAACGAAGAATCGATAAGTGGTTATGTAATACCACAAAGGTCATTAGCACAATGACTATCCATCCAATGTTAGTATGTGTTTAAAGGGGAGAATAATTGATCCAGTCATCACAGATGGTAAGAACATATCAGGTCAGACTCCACTAATCTGGAAGAACAAGTAGACAGATTTCCAGAATATGCTTCCCATCCAAGAAAAGAGTGTAGGGACAAACTAATTGTATTTCTCACTGTATTGTGCTTTGTTGTGGTGGTGGTTTTGTTGTTTTGGTTTGGTTTGGTATTTTGGTGGTGGTGGTATGGGGATTGAACTCAGAGGCACTCAGCCACTGAGACACATCCCCAGCCCTGTTTTGTATTTTATTTAGAGACAAGGTCTCATTGAGTTGCTAGGACCTCACTCAGTTGCTGAGGCTGGCTTTGAACTCATGATCCTCCTGTCTTAGCCTCCTGAGCCACTGAGATTACAGGCGTGTACCACCATGCCCAGCCATTGTCTTACTCTCCTTTTTAGCATTAATCACGTCTTCCATATACATTTTAGATCATCACCTCCTAGCATCCTAACAATTGTCAACAATAAGACAGAGAAAATGACTACTACCCCTTCAAGTGTTCGTAAACAAATAACTTCAAAATTTACAAGTGTGATAAGCAATGAAAAAATGAACACAGAATTCAAGAGCAAAGAAGAGTACAAATTCAGATTCAGTGGCAAAGATTC